GCAACGTTGCAATTTCTTACAGCATAACACTTGTGACGGATAAGATTAGATGTTTGCTTTCCATTATATTTTAATATGTTATTACACTTCTCACATATCACCACTCCAACAATAAGCCTACTTTCGTCATTTTCAATTTGACAGAAAATATCCCAAATTTTACTTCTGCTTTTTTTATTTTTTACAATACGAAAAACACCGTTTTCAATATTTTTTATTATTTCAGAGTTCATCTTGAAAACTTATTTAAAAGAAATTAACGCACTGATTTTGCACTATGTAATCTGAGCTTTTATGAATTATTTGATTGTTTTGCTTACAACTCAAAACACAGTTATAATTTTTGAGTGGTTGTTGCTAGCAACATTTAATGAGTGATTGAGTACATGACAAGCAATTAGAAGAGCGCAAAAACTGCCAGCAATGTTATTAGCACATGCTGATGATTGAAAACAAAACAAATACAGTGAGTACATACATATAGGAAAAAAAGTGAATCAACTCGTGTACACCTCTGAGTACATATGTTTTCTCCATTCTGTTCAAGTGAATGTCAAGATAAGATACCTCATTTGCTTGTGGTACTAAATGTGAATAATTTTTAAGTTAATTTACATTTATTCGTCAGTTGGCTAGTCATTGTTTTACGAAAGCTATGTGCTTTTCTAGTACTCTTGACGCTCTAATTGGCTTATTACGACTGTGTCATCCGCAAAGTCGATGTTAATACATTATTATCACTTGAAATGTTTGGCTCTGATTTAGCACCATCTACTTGTCAGCATTGGAAATATTTTACATTATCATAGCTGATTTAGATGCTACTAAAATCACCAAGAGAAACAAATGTAAACAAATCAAAGAATTAAGCGCTTGAATCTGAATACACCTGAAAATAGGCTCGATTCAAAAGTTGAGGTCTTAACAAACAAGAGCGCCTCGCTGGCAATGCGGKGGCAAAGTTACCACATTAAATCGGTTTTTTGAGTCCGACGGTGGCTTACTGTGTATTAAGGCTTTCCAAAGAAAGTTTTATATGTTGGTTGAATTTGGATTAATTTTTTTTTTATTATAAAATTTCTTCCACAGACTCTAGCGCTTTTCTGAGTGATTAATAGGAGAGCGATTTCCGTGTCATTCACGTTTAGCTCGCCTTTTTTCAGTTACATGTCTTGCTATTTCAACATTTTTGATTCTTCTAAGCAAAGTATGCTTGTAAAGTGTGACAGTTTTGAGTATGTACAGAGAACGTACATTTATAGAGAAGGTTCAACTAAGGAAAAGCGTGTGAACTGTCAAGAGCCATGAATTTTCTATTAGTGGATTTCACCACTTTTGGCTCGGCAGGAGAAGCTCTAACAGAAATGAGTGAACAGAACAGAGAATTCAATGAAAATTATGCGCAGAAATATATATTGCTTTTACAGCCGCCTGTTGGCCTTTTGGCTTATATTTTTATATGTTTACATGCTATTATATCAATTGATTTTGCGATTTTTTATGAATTCATGCAAAATTGATAACATTGTTAATTTATGCATTTCTCCAAGCAATTTTTGTAGTTAAAGGGAAAATGAGCTACTTTTTAAACATTTCTTATCTTTGATAATGTAATATAATTTATAATGTAATATAATTTCATATATTTGCAATATATGTATGTACATGTATGGTATATTATCATAATATCCTAAAAAACTTAATATATTACAGCAATAATATATATAAATCACACATTTTATCATTTAGAACTATCATACGCATCTATCCTGCAGATTCATATCTACATATATATGTATGTAAATAAAAATCAATTTCAAATCAAAATATTATCATTTATCAGTAATATAATATGCGCGCGCTACATATAAACATACATGTATGTACATATATAGACATGTAAATATGTCGTCCGATCTTTACCTATCCCTAACCTTGACATCATGCTACACATTGCATAGCAACAACAAAGGATGTTTAGGTACAAAGTCCAAACAGTAACA